AAAATATGAAAGTGAGGGTGGTGGATGATGATATGGATGATACAAAAATGATTTGAGTGTTTGGATGAATTATATGTGATTTATATGAGGTTTTTTAATGGTTAAATGAAGTGGAAAGCTTCTGGTTTGTGAAAACACAATTTCACTTTTAGTGAGATTTGAAAAAAATGAAGAATAGGAAATTTTGGTTTAGAGAACTTTGCTGAGGTTTTGAGGATTGTTTCTTGTGTATTTTGAGGCTTAGAAGTGGCCTCTATTTATAAGATAGGTTGAGGGATTCGGAGCTGACCAGATTGCAAAGTTTATGGAGTTTTGGTTTTGTTGAAAATGAAATGGTAGTTCCAAGAAAAGATTATGGATTCAAGGCAAAGTACCAACATTGTAGGGTGGTTGAGAGGTTTAGAGATGTTGCTTCTGATCTTGAGAAAATGTTTGTGCATTATAAAAAATCACAAAGCTCCATACAAGTTGACTTTGTGATTAAAGCAACCTTTCAAGAATGTAAGTGCGATCTTTTTGGCAAAATGCTCCATAAATGGCACGAGCTCTTGGATAATGCTTCAAATCTTTGCGTAATGCCTGAAAAACTTATACAAACTTGTTATTAAGGGGAGATTTAGAAGAAACATGGTCTTCAAAGCATGATTATGCAGATTTGAATGGGATTTGCTTCAAGTTCATGTCATGAAAATGACCTAAAACTCAAGTTTGAAATGTCAACTTTATCTCTTCGAATCTCCTAGCTCAAGCATGGAAAAATGATTTCTTGGACTCTTTGGAAAGCTTGAAACATTACCTACAAATTTCATGTTTTGTTTTTTTCCTTGAATTAAAATGGATCATGGTGAAAAATGGCCTCAAAGTGAGTCACTTTTACAAGGCCGATTTGCATGAAAATTTTTTTATTTGTCCAAGTTTAAGGGACAAGTAATCCAACAATTTATGACTTCATATCTCTCAATCTATGTATTTTTTGGGAATTCATCCTCAAGAAAAAAGTTGTAGCATAGAACAAGATCTTCAAATTGGTCTTTAGAGCAAAGAAAAGGGTGGTCTAGATTGGAAGTTATGGTCTTGGAAGTTAGCACAAAATTAGAGTTTTCTCATAACTTAGAAAATTTTACAAATTCTTCATTGTTGCCCTTTTTGCAAGTAACTTCATTTTTCTTGATTTTTCTTTATAAAATTAAATCAACAAACATATTTCCATGGAATTTATCTGGAGAAGTTAAATTTGATCAAAGAACCTTAAGGTCAAAGGCTTGACTTTGCAGTTGTTGTCTTGTGTATCTGATGAAATGCACTTATTAATCTTCAATGAATTCAATCCCTTAACCTATTTTAACATTATGGATGGGTTCCAAGAATGTATTTGAGTGTCTTGAATCATGTCTCAAGGTTTGAGATCATGTCTTGATCAAAAGTCAAAGATGCAGTTGACTTTGGTTGACAAACCCTAATTTATTACCAGATAAATTTGAATTTTTGATGAACTTGTATTGAAGCCATATTGCACTTTATTATTGATGGAGGGAGATCTCTTGAGTGCATGAGAACTTGATACTTTGATGAGCAATCCAAAACTTTGGTTGATCAACCAAATCTCCTTGATGCAAAACCCTAATTTACAGATGAAACAAAAGCAAAGCCATATCTTGATGATTTGTTAGCCATGCATGAATGATTGATCTAGAATGCTATGCAAATGATAATTAAATCTAGGGATAAAATTTAGGGTATGATAACATACAAAGAATCATCACTGTGTGGAAGCTTCGATCGTAGAAAGGTACATCACAGAAGAAGCTATTGAGTTTTGTACAAACTATTTATCAAAAGCTTCCTTTATAGGAATTCCTAAGTCTCGTCATGATGGATTTTATGATGGTAGAGGTATTCAAGATTTAAATGCTAAGACATTTTTTCGAGAAGTAGTTCTTCAAACACATTTTCATATATTGAATAACCTTAGTGAAGTTCATTCTTACTTGATCGCTCACAAATGTCATTTAAAGGAAAAATTCCCCTATATGAATAAAAAATGCTTGTTGACAGAGCATAACAAAACTCTCATAAATTGGTTTATTGAAAGTATTTCTAAAGAGAGTAGTGCATCAGATCTTTGCATATGATTGTCACGTATGCTTAAGTTTACTGTAATTACTTGGAATGCATACGACATTTCTAAATATTCATTTTATACAAAATCAAAGCATGATCGTAGCACCCTGCAAAATAGTGGGGTTATGGTTGAGGTTGAATCCATGTACTTTTCTAGTTCCAAAGATAACAATCATGTACTAGCATATAGATCGTACTTTAGGGTTATTGAGGAGATTTTGGTGATTGACTATGTTTCTTTTAAAGTGCCTTTATTTAAGTTCAAATGGATTGAGTTTAACACTAGTGTAAAAACCGATGAATTGGGATTCACAAGGGTTGATATTCGTAAGGCAACTTATAAGAACGAACCTTTCTTCATGGCATCCCAAGTAAAACAATTTTTTATGTCACTGATCTTTCTAACACTAAATAGTCAATTGTTCTTCAATGTAAACATCTTCCCGAACTGATGAAAATCAAGATTTTAACTGAGACTCCTTATTTATCAACACATGTATGTCAAGCATCTAAAGAAAACAATTCAGATGATGTGCATGTTATTCGTCATGATCATGAAGAGGTGATATGAGAAAACTAGTAAGTAAATGTTTTATATCCCTTTGAAATTTATAGTTAATCATTTTACTCCTTTTTAATAATTGTACTATATATTCAAAGTTGTTGTTGATTGACCTAATTAGTTTCAAATTTTGTTCAAACTATAGGTGCTTAAGGACCAGTGACAAATCCTATTGGATAACCTACAAAACATACCATGCATTTTGGTTATTTTTTTGTTTCATAATCCTTTGTTTTAGTTTTGAAAATGATTCTATAATACAGGTTCCAAAAAATATGATTCTATAATCCTGTAATTGATTTTAAAAATATGGTTCTATATTCAAGAATATGGTTCAGTAAAAGAGGTGAAAACGACAATACAAAAAAAAAACTAATCCCTCGGGAATAAAATCGATATATTACCTTTGTGTTAAATAAAATCGAGGTAATGCCATTGGACGCGCCATTCAGTTATGAAAATACTGATGTTGAGGATCGAACCCACAACCTTTTAATCTCTAACCTCGACTTTAGATTCTCTGAGGTGACAGGTGATTGCTTTTCATATCACCCTTCGTTACCTTGCATGTGTAGCAGAGGTTAGCAGTATTTTGTGCCTAACGTTAGATGTGTTATTTGTAGTAGTCCACCTAAAACTCTAAACCCAAACACCTCATGTGTGTTATGTGGTTGTGTCGTGGACTGAACTCGTCATTTGATTGTCACCTGTAAGTCCATCTTTCATGTGTGGTACACTAATTTTAGGTTGTAAGGATAGAAACAAGTGATGCCTTCCGTTTTGTTATCTTTTTTGTTTAAGTTTTTGAAGTTCTCTCCAATGAGACCAAATCTCATCAATAACTCAATCCTAAGACATTTAGTAGTGTTTGTCAACTCTTAGATAACTCTTAAAGAGATGATTAAAATTTTTGAGCAATTAATTCTAATAAGTCCTCTCTTTGTTTCTCTAAGTCTCTCTCTTTAACAATCACATCTCCTAAAAAAAATGGCAAAAAAAACTTTAATAAGACACAACTTCTGAGGCAAAACGCCTAACATTTCTCCAGAATGTCCTGCACTTCTGCATTGAAACACAAAACTTAAAATCTTTAAAAACACTCTTTGTTATGCCTCGCGTTCCTTCTTAAATATCTCGTGTTTATGGCAAATCCAAATTGAATATATTTTTAAATTGTTCCGAGTTTTCTGCACAACCAAATAGGCAGGAAGGGGAACAAGTCGTGTTGCTTGTACGATTGGTTCAAATTTCCTTTCGACTTCTTGTAATTGTATCTTGGTTTGAGATTTCCTTAATCTCCTTTTTAATATTATCTGCTTATCAAAAAAAAATTGTTCCGAGTTTTCTCGAGTCATACTCAACTCGACTAACTTAACCGCACAACTATCTCTTAATACAAATTTAGCTATTAATATATAATTAACTAACCATTAACTAATAACCTATAAAAATAGATCCATCCAATAACCACTGTTCATTTAATATTAAACAACCAAATTGATCTATAAAAAAATTCAGAAGCAACCAACTTGATTCTTATTCTAAATTATTATAGAACAAATTAAAAAAACATATATTCTAATTATAATATCTGACAAATGATGGCAGGAAAAATAAGGAAAAAAACAACTTGTGTGTGCTTGTTGGCAATAAGATATGAAACAAGAGAAGGAGATAGTAGTGTAAGGCCTACACACAGGTCTGTGTGGCCCCAAAAACCACAGTACTCTCTGTGCTGTTCAAGAATTACATAATAATAGGGACATAAATTACCCTCCAAAAATTATTTCACCACCCTAACTAAATTATTTGAAAAAAATATGTATATAGAAGCAAGGAAAGAGACAAAAGAGTGAAAAGAGAAAGAGATATGGGTATGGTATGTAATGTATGGGTGGACAAGTATATGTTGAGTAGTATTATTTATGTAGAAAACATCAAAATCATTGTGAAGTTTTTTTTTTTTTACTCATAAGAAAACAATATAGTTTATAGAGGGAAGATGAGTTGTTGTAGTATTAGTAGGTCTACAAAGTGATTGTTTTCTTCTCTTTTTATCTAAGGATTGTTGTTGTCTCCTAAAGATAAAAAATTCTTCTTGCTGTTTTCTGGGTTTATTCTCATAACCTCTTTTCAAAGAGACAAGGAAAATTCAGGTCATTAGTTTCTTTGTATTCTTTCTTTCATATGCTTTTACTTTTAATTAGAAATTCAATCGCGCACACACACTCAGACACACAGATAACACACAAATATGTTATATAGATTGTGACAATTTTTGGAAATTTAGTTTCAGATTTGCATCAAATTAAGTAACATGGCTGCTTCTTCACCTTCTACACCTTTCTTGGAAATCAGACAAGAAAATCAAAGTCAGATAACACAACAACATCAATCTTCTACCGATGTTTCATCAACCGCTGCTCAACCTTTAGTGCCTAAAAAAAGAAGAAATCAACCAGGAACACCATGCAAGTAGCTTTATATGCATTCTTCATTATTTCATGACATTAAAAATCACCCTTTTGGGAAATATTTCTGGGTTTCTTATCAAAATATAAACTTCACAAATAAACCCTAAATTAATCTTGAATTATACTATTAGTTAGGGTTTTATTAAGTTCTCTAAATGAAAAGTTATTTTTTCAATTATTTTTTAGCTATATACTATAGAACATCTTTAATTGAGTTCAACTTCAACATGCAATTGAAATTTGAAACAATAAAGTTGTATAACTTTTTGTATTTTTTGTATTTTTTGGCTTTTTGCTTTTTTTATTAAAAATATTTCAATGAAAACAGATCCAGATGCAGAAGTGATAGCACTATCTCCAAAGACACTAATGGCAACAAATAGATTTGTATGTGAAGTGTGTCAAAAAGGGTTTCAAAGAGAGCAAAATTTGCAACTTCATAGAAGAGGACACAATCTACCTTGGAAGCTAAAGCAGAAGAGTAACAAAGAGCCAAAGAGAAAGGTTTATCTGTGTCCTGAGCCTTCTTGTGTTCACCATGACCCTTCTAGAGCTCTTGGAGACCTCACTGGAATCAAGAAGCACTTTTCTAGAAAGCACGGTGAGAAAAAGTGGAAATGTGAAAAGTGTTCTAAGAAATATGCTGTTCAATCTGATTGGAAAGCTCATTCTAAAACTTGTGGCACTAGAGAGTATAGATGTGACTGTGGCACTCTCTTCTCAAGGTAAATAACAAATTCAAATGTCCATTTTTTTTTCTATATAAGCATAGTAATTATTTTTTCAATGATATAAGAAAATGAGTCAAAAACGTTGAAGCTTTTTATTAAGTTATTTTTTGCTTGGGATTTAGTGGAGAATATGAGAGTGTAACATTGTATTAGACCGCTTGCACGTGAGTGCACACACTATTTCTTTTCGTATAAATCAAATATTTTCTGCACATAACTGTAGAAATTAATACCTTACTGTATGCAAACTTGTTTTAAAAAAATTGTTGAAAATTGAAATTATTATTTTTTGAAAACAAGTTTAGCATAATATTTTTCTGTGCCTTGGGAACAACGTCCCTATTATGCTTGTTCCCATTCACATGTTGCTCAAAGGACACAGTATGATACTGTGTGTTTGTTCTCACATGAGTTGAACTTGCTCGCTTTTTGTTTTCTTTCATCTTGGAGTTTTATACACTTGCATGTTTTTCATTTTATGACACTTTATGTTATTTCATGATATTTTATGTTATTTTATGATATTTACAATTTACAACACCATGATTTTCGACAATGTGTTTATACATGAATGCAAAAATTCTCTAACATTAAATTCAAATATCTAATGTTGATGTTTTTGAAAGATTTTCCGGGAATATAGCATTCTTTTTTAGTACGATCATATTCACAAGAATTATATATATAAGATGATAACAAATGGACAAACCTATGAGACAGTTTGCATTAATTGAATGTGGCCCCATTTTTGTGGTTTTGATTATTGGCTTTCATCAATTTTGTAAAATAATTCTTTCATTTAAGTGATTATAGAGAGGACTCAAACTGGTAGTTCGATAAGGAGTTGTTGGTGTGTTTCAAATTATGGCATAATCTTATGGACCCTATTTTTTCATTATTTAGATCGAATCTTATATCAATATATGTTCATATTATTTATTGCTTAATTTCCATTTTTTGCTTTAATAATATATATTTTTTTGAAATATATTCCTCTTTAATCCTATATGCTTGACAATTAATATACTAACCTTATAGGATTAAAGTATAAATAAGTCTTGATCTATGTTCTAATTTAGTCTTAATTTTTTAATATCACGTTTTATACTATTTAATTATTCTTTTGGTAGTGAATTTTTTGGTATGGTTGTGGCTGTGTAGACACTAGCTAGGTTCTTGACTTTGTTAACTAAAAATATTTATACTCATTATTATTTTTTTAGCTCAATTATATGAAAGATATTGCATGTTAGAGACATTTTTTTAGTGTAATAAGTCATGGTGAGGTCACAGTTATGAAAAAAAGAACACATAATTTCAAAATGATAATCAAATAAATTTATGCAATTTTTACACTCTTAACAACATATCAAGATTTGTAGCAGTCGAGGAATTTCTCCCGTCATACAATCAATCTTTTTAAGCAATTCAATCAAGTTTGAATGATCTTTGTTGAAACTATGTTTTATATGATAATTCTAAACGTAAATATTCTTTTTTAACTGTTTGTCCGATCAATATTGAACAAATATTGGACGGACACTAATATTCTAATAATAATGTGAATACATAGAAACGCATGTAATCCAATTATTTTATTTACACCATATGTTTTTACTATATATATATATCGATTTTATTATTTTTCTAGTATTTGTTTTATTCTCGTATTTGATTGGTCGATTTTTACCGTTTTTGTTTTTTTCTCTCTTTATACATTTTGATTGGTTTGTTATTCAAAAAAGTATATGGATAGAATGATATTCATAACAAACTTATTGTGATGCTTAATGTTATATATTTTCTTTTTTTGCAGGCGTGATAGTTTCATTACTCATAGGGCATTTTGTGATGCACTAGCACATGAAAATGCAAGACACCCTTCCAATATGAACCCTTTAGCAACACATCTATTTTCCACAAACCACATAGGTTTAGCCCTAAACCAAAACCAACAAACATCCACAAACAACATCTTAACCCTAGGAAACATCCCTTGTACACCAAAATATGAACATCATTTGATCTCACCTTTGAATCCTTCATCATCATCATTTGGTCAGCAACAACAACAATCACCACAACAACAATCAATGTCTTCGTCACCTTTCTTCATCAACGATCCAAATCAAACCTTCCAACAAGACCTTTCTTCACCATTCTCAAACAAACAACTTCATCTTCATCATGGTCTCTTGCAACTTCCTGATCTTCAAGGAAATACCAACAACAACACGACTTCTTCATCAGTATCGCCTTTTAACCTAAGTTTCTTTCCGAATACCAATAGTAGCACAATGCATGATCAGTTCAATAACATAAGCGAACCTCATCATCATCATCAGCATCACCAAGAAGGTTTTTCTTCACTCTTTGGTAATTCATCAATGCAACAAGAGAACATGTTGTCATCACCACACATGTCAGCAACTGCATTACTTCAAAAAGCTGCTCAAATAGGTTCAACAACAACTACTACTATCAATAACAACGGCGTGGAATCTAGTAATGAAGGCTTAAGATCAAGCATGGAAAATGAACACAATCAACATCTACATGGATTGCTAAACTCTCTTGGAAATGGAAACACTTCAATATATGGAAATATCAATCATGACAACAACATTAACCTTGGTCAGTTTCAAAATATGGAGGAGAATAAAAAGTTGCCACAACAAAATCTAGCTGGTAATTTGTGCTTTGGAGGATCAGATAAATTGACTTTGGATTTTCTTGGTGTTGGAGGAATAGTGAGAAACATGAGTGGTGGATTTTCACAAAGAGAACAGCAACTACACTCCATGAGTAATATGAACAACATGGATCCTAAATTGGAATCATCACAAGCAAACCAACCTTTTTGAAGCAAACCAATGCAATAAGATGTTGGTGATGATATGATATAAATTAGGCAGCAAAATAAAAGTTTATTATCTTTATATGTTCTAGTTTATGCACTCAAAAACAATGTCCTAGTTTTTCTTACCTTTCTTTTGCAATTGAGAATTGGTTTATTAATTCTACAATGTGTAATGAGTGTTCCTCAAGACAGAAAAACCTTGAAGCACAGTGAATACTTACAAGTTACGATGATATTTATATTTATCTCACTACAAGAAATTTAGTGGAAATTTAAACTTATAGGACAACAAATCAGACCTATGGAAAGAGGCTTTAGTTGTGACATATGGTGTTGGAGTTTGTTTCTAGCGTATGCATCTGTTTCTCTACATTCTGTTGCCTTAATTTCTCGTTACTAGTTTAGGATATTCTTTTCTATGTTGACATGATTTTTGGTTGATTTTTTTTTTGTATATTAGAATTCTCATGTAGGTTGTTTTTGCAGTTGTATGGCACTCTTTAGTTTTTCACTTTGATGTTTTCCGACTTGTTTGCTGGGTTTAAATTTTCTATATAATGGATTTGAGTATCCCTCATACTTCATTTATAAAATTTCATGCCTTGGAGCGATTTCATTGATGGTATGGTAGTTTCAGAGAAACTTAAATTGAGATATCACTCAAAGATGTTAGTTATACAAAAGGGCAATGTAAAACTCTATATTGGTGGAGAACTTTATGTTATAACTGATGTTTACTACTTACATGGCATGAGAAACAACCAATTAAAAATGAAGAAAGTCCATGAGAAATAAGTAATCCAGGTGATCTTAGTAACGATGGTGATTCTAATGAAATGCCTCAAAAGGTTAGAAGACTTTCAAGTTGTTTTAATGACTATATTACAAACATAGAGATTGAGGAAAAAGATCGATTGCACAATCTTATGTTTTCAACACAAGTCACTGTTATAAAATAGACCTTTCGTAACACCAGATTACAACGACCTTCCTGTGTTAACTGTGATAATAACTTTTTTTGAGTGTTTTTTTTGTATTTATTAAAAAATATTTTACTACGGTCATAATTAACAACCATAATAAAATATACCTAGAGTGAAAAGGTTCAAATTCTAGTGTCAACAATTTTCCATTTATCGTGATATAATTGACTTTATCTTGTATATCACCACGATTCTTATAATCAACTGTGGTGTAAGGTACAATCATTTCATCACGATTCATATTATCAACCGTGGTAAAAGGTGTTACATATTTATATATAAGTGAAATTATCTCTCCCTTCGATATATAACAATCGTCTCTCTCAAAACAAAACTCTAACATCTCTTTCACTTGCCTCTCTCAAAACAAAACCTTAACATCTCTGTCATCTGTCTCTCTCATATGGAAACCCCAAACTTAATTATGTAGGGAACTCGCCTTCTTCAAATGATTATCTTTGTTGCATCAAATCTTAGCAAATGGTTACCTTAAAGGTTCGTCCTCACAATAGTTAATGTTTCAAAATTTGTTTATGTATTATTCTTTATATTTCAATAGCTTGTTTTATAATGTTTGAACTTTCTGCTTGTTTTGACTTGTAGGTTGGGATGGTGAATGAAAAAAATCAACGAGAATGAGGATAAAGTGAGCACTGCAAACTTGTGTGGAAGACCCAGAATGACATCCATTCAAAATGAACACAAGTTTGCAGCTCTAACTTCAGCTTCATCCTCCTTTTATTATGAATGTCTTTATGGGAGATATACTTTTCTGAAACATTCTATGAGTTAATATGTTGTTGTTGGTATTTTTATTAATAAAATTTGTATGTTGTATGTAGTTTATGCTATATGTTACTGATTTTGTTGTTTTCAATAAGAGTTATTTATTGTATCTTGTATGTTTTTAAGGTTTGTTGTTAATGAATGTTGTTTTAATATTTGTTTAAAAGATGAGTTTATTATATCTTATGTGGTTTGAGTGTTTTTCCAACACCTTATCAAATATATAACTTTTGAATTTGCATTAAAAATTATAATATGATAGATAAAATTATATTAGAAAACAAGTTACATGTTCAATTCTAGACAAGATTTCTTCAACCCGTTATCTGCATTTCGCTCTTTAACCGTTAGAAATTGGTTTAATGTTTCTCGTTCTTCAACCTCCCTTTTATCCACCTCTAATTTTGTTTGAAAAACAAATAATATTTTGCAAAATAAAGTAGAGGTGAAGGAAGGGGAGGTTGAAGAACTAAGAGGATTAAACCAAGTTCTAACTGTTAGAGAGCAAAATGCAGATAAGGAGTAGAAGAGTTCTTCTCTAGCATTGAACGTGTAACTTGTTCTTATAATATAACTTAATTTGTCATATTATAATGTTCTAAATCATATTGAAAAGTTATATGTTTAGTGAGTATTGACGAAATAAGAATTTCACATTATTTATAATAAACTCAGTGTATATATCACAATGGTTGCTTAGAACAACCTTTCTAAATTTTATGCATTAAATAATATCACAACGGTTGTTTGAAGTAACCATTGTAATATGTAGGGATCTACATAACTTATAATCATGGTCGCATGAGCGTGATAGAAAGCATCATACATACAACCACCTCTTACCATACAACGCTTGGTCAGGCGTAATGGTATCTCTTTTTCAACCGTTGTGAAATAGTTTTTACGTAGTAGTGAGTGAAGATCCTAGCACCTATGAAGAATTTGTAAGGTTAGAATTTTATAGGAAAGCAATGGATCTTGAGATAGAATCCGTAGAAAGAAATGAAACTTGAAAGCTCATTATCATTCCTATAGGCTTAAAGACCATTGAAATGAAATAGACATACTAAACAAAATACACTACTAAAAATAAGATATCTGGTTAAATGATTTTACATCAGATTTTTAGATATATGATGTGAAAAATATTTGTCAAAGGATTTTACATCCGATTTATTAATAATATGATGTGAGAAATATTTGATTTAAGGATTTTATATCAGACATATATTTCCACTGATGTAAAAAATAATGCGGTGGCAGTGTCGTAAATAATAAGAAATTTTGTTATAAAGGATTTTACATCGGGTCATTTATCCCAAACGATGTAAAAAGCTCTCAATAAAAAATAAATAAAATGGGTGGAACATTTTACATCGGGCCATGTACCCCACCCGATGCAAAAAATAATGTGGTGGCAGTTTCGGAAATAATAAGAAACTTTGTTATAAAGGATTTTACATCGGTCCATTTACTTTAACAGATGTAAAAGTCCTCAATAAAATAAATAAATAAAATAAATTAATTAAACATTTTACATCGGGTTGTTTATCCCAACCGATGTAAAAGTTTTTCAATAAAAAAAATAAATGGATTAAACTTGTTACATCGGGTCATTTTGCCCAACCGATGTAATAAGTTTCTTAATAAAAAATTAAATAAAATTGATTAAACTTTTTACATCGGGCCAATTTGCTCAACCGATGTAATAAGATTCTCAATAAAAATTTAAATAAAATTGATTAAACGTTTTACATCGGGCCAATTTGCCCAACCGATGTAAAATGTTTCTTAAAATCCCAAAATCCTATCTGAAAACTTAACATTCTCCAAATCCCCAAAAATCTCTTATCATTCTTCTTCTTCGCTTCCACCGTCTCCGTCCCCATTTTCCTTCTTCTTCGCTTCCATCATCGTCATTTTTCTTCTTCTTCTTCTTCCTCCGCCGCCACTGTCTACCATTCTTCTTCTTCTTCCTCCGCCGCCACCATCCGCCATTCTTCTTCTTGTTTTTTAGCCGCCACCAATCCCTTCGCCCAAGATGCGGTGAATCCCTTTTCCATAAGTTTCTCATCATATTTTCTCTGATTAATTATTTTCTCTCATCATATTTACATAATGCTGATGAATTAATTAGTCGTATACGGACACAAAAATACAAAAAATAAATATGTTTATCGTGTACTCCTACTTCTTTTTAATCCCCAAGTTACAAAATACAAAAAAAAATATGTTTATTCAAAATAGAATTGATACTCGTACATGTATATCATAGGTAATTATTAATTAAAATAATAAATAATAAATAAAAGATACTGGTGATGCTACTCATAATAGTGTCAAAAAAATTATGAGAGAAACTAAATCCATGCATTGCTTATTTTTATTATTTCTTTTTGGTTGGTTGTTCATCTCATGTGTATTCTTCTAATCGATTATTTTTCCTTTCATTTTGGTTGAATTTCATTTTGTTTTCTCGTAGTTTAATCTATTATATTATCTTTAAGGTGTTGTCTCCCGTATAGGTTTCGAGTGAGAGATTAAACTTTGATATTATTTTTTTTTGAAAGTTTTAAATTACTGCAAAGTAATTCCGTTAAATAATTGAAAATTAAAAAAAAAAATTAAAAAATTAAAATTTCCACTAAATATTTTCTGCTAAATTGATAAAAAAAATATGGTCACAAAATTAAACTATAATTTATATATCATATTTTCCTACATAAATAATGTCAATACTTTCTAAAGTTTAACTTTCTTTTTGCAGAGACCATCAAATGATGACTTAGATGGCAACTTAACTAAGAATTTCTAATAAGGAGGTGTAGATCTTTCACTTGGAAGAGTTAACTATTGTCAACGTGAAGTTTTGATATTGTTTGCTACTGGAAAAAATATCTTATTTTTTCGTTGCTATTAGATCAAAAGCAACTGTGACATTCATCTAATAGTTTTTTAATACATTTTTCTAAGCATATACAATCATATAGTGTTGACATAATTAAGACTTTTTAGTTTGTTAAATTCTTAGGAGAAACAACATTGTGCTTGTTGGCTTGAAGAGACAACCTTAAGCTTTTTCTACTTTCTAGTACTTTGTCGGTGATAACAACGATCTATAAGGTATCTTTAACAATACATGATTTTACTGTTTTTAATATCTTTTTGTAAGAATTCTGGAATTTGAAATTTAGTGTGTAGAAAAATCAGTTTGTTTCATATATTTTCAATAAAT